CGGCTGTATATAACAGGCTCTATCTCCTCGGTCCAACACTTATATTTAATTAGTTTGTTCTCACACTGACTGAAATGATTAATTCCAAGTTTCCTAAGTGTATATTGTAGATATTTTGGGATCATTTGACACCTTTCTTTGTATTTCCACAGATAAAGTCCATTCCTCAACTGTAAGCAAGTCACCTCCACTGCTTTTAGGCTGCAGAGATCCTGATAACATTTTTGTAATGAAGATTTGTAACTTCCGCTTTTGATGTACCCAGCAGCCTCATTTACATCTCCTACATCCCCCAGAATGCCTTTCATCAGTCCTCAGTGAACTTGTTGCTTTCAGCAGCATTTAATGATAACGTGATGAAAGGCTTTCCAGCTAAGAAAAAAAGCACAGTCATTCGCCTTACTCAAAGTGCAACATGTCCTGTGGCTGAATATTATTCTGGTCTATTGAGGCAGCTGTCAGTGGAAAACACTGTGCTTGTGTTTCCTCTGCAGTTGATATTTCTCAGTATGATTGTAGGTGTAAAGTGGTGGGTCTGCAGAGAAGCTCCTATTTTTGATTCTGAAGCACTCACTCAAAACCTCTTACATTTACTGTTGACGCTTCTTTTTATTCTGTCAGTCTTCACCATATCAGGGATAGAAACTCCCATGTCTCGTGACGCCGTGTTGTCTGTGTCTGTCCATTAATCTTTAGGAAGATTTGCTTTTTAACCCCCGTTAATGAAGCCTAAGTCTGGTGATATTTGCACTTTCATTAAAAGACTAAATCCAACAATGAATTCATCTGAAGAACAAGTATTTTCTGTGCAGTCAGAGCCTGTTACAGCTTCCTCTTTGCCATAGACCTCTGTTGCTGTTCAAAAATGATTAAATACACATTCCTGCACTGTGTAACATGAACATGTCAATCCCATCCTACTGTGCCTAAATACTCAGTCTACTAAATGTGTGTTAATCCATGCAATGTAGTCCCCCACAAATGCACCATTTGCTCTTGTTAACGTTCCCTTAAAACCAAATTGCCCAGTTGTTTTGGGAAATAGTTTTTTTAATTGAGCTATATATTTGTGACCCATTGGGTGCCACAGACAGGGTAATTCATGGTTATTCAGATGAACTAATAAATTGGGATTTTTGGGATTTGTTGGCAATAAGAAGAGTATAGAATAATGCCAGGTACATCTTTTAAAAAAAAAAAAACAGCTCTTGTCATAAGCCTGGGGGATGAGGGATGTCCTCTGTATGGAAATTTCTTTTTTTCTTTGTGAGGACATCTGGTCTTTGTTAGTAATGAAATACAAACACACACACACGGGGCAGAGGGAGAGGGTGCAGAGGCTGCGTAACAACTGACATTGTCATGCGAGGGCTCCCGCACTGGGCAACACTGAAGAATAGAGTACAACTGAATATCAATAAAGCTGCATAGACAGTGTTCACTGGCTGTCAGTCAATCAGTATTTTTCTAGCAACCAACAGTTTGACAGGAATTTTAAATTAAAGGTTCCCTGTCGAGTTTTCTTGTAAACATCATTACTCACCCAAAAACAGTGTGTATTTTTACTGCCTAAAAAAAAACTGACTGAATGTATTTCCTCACACACTTTAAGATAAAGTCAAAATATTTGAAATTGTGCACCATAAACATCCACAGGTTTTCTAGCTGACAGTCTTCTCTGCTGTTGTAGGTGTATTTCTACTGTTAGTGTGTATGTAATCATATTTTTTTCTATTTTTATGGAACCCACTTGTTAAAAATATACCTTTAAATGATCATAGTCAAAGTATGTGAAAGGAAATACAACTGTTTGCATTATAGATTAATCTCTCAATACATCTATTAATCATTTTGTCTAGAAAATGTCAGAAAACTGTGAAAAATGCCCATTTCTGTGGTGAAGTGATGTCTTCAAATGTCTTTTTTTGTCCAATTAACAGACTCAGTTTGTGTTCTCTTTACTTTCATGTGTTACACAGAAGAGCTTTAGATCCTCATATCTATGAAGTAAAATCAGCAAATGTTTGACATTTAAGTGATTGATCGACTAATTGTTGCAGTTCTAC